CGCAGCCGCAACCCTCAGGGTCAGGCTCAGGGGGTGCCGGTGGCAGCAGCAGCAGCAGCGCTCCCCTTGGTCGTGGCAACATGCGAGGCAGGAGGACCATGGACACGCCCGCCAGGGTTCTAAAAACCCGACCAGACAGTCTAAGCACCAAGCAGGGTACTGATTTTCTTTCCGCGTCACAGCTGTCACTCCCCACGCCCCTCAACGTGTTCTGTCTTCTTCACCTTTCTCAATTTTTTCCCTCAGGTGCAATCACAAGAGATGCAGCGGCGCAGAAATTTGTTGTAAATTACTTCCGCCTCCGTACAGTACCTACATGGGTGCTGCATCAATATCGAGTGGACATCGCTCCGGAGGAAGAGAGGACAGGTACGAGGAAATATCTTCTGCGTAGTCACCAAGAAAGATTGGGAGGATATATTTTTGATGGTACTGTCCTGTACACACAATCACGGCTGACGACCCAACAGGTAAATGCATTTTCACTTTAAGTTACATTCGATTTACATAATCTCGCGACTGTATATTTTCTCTCTCTTTTATTTGTTGTCAGAATCCAGAGTTGACATTAACATCTAGTAACAGAGAGGGCACTGTATTCACCATAACTATTCGGCATGTTGGTCAAGTTGACTATGGAGACTATGCATATGTACAAGTTTACAATTTGATCTTGAGAAATTGTATAACTTCATTAGGTCTTCAGCTGGTGGGGCGAGATTATTATGATCCCATAGCTAAGGTAATCTTTCACTTGGTCATTGATTTTTCCAAGGAATTCCTGCTGCAGCATATTAATCCGTGTCTACCTCTAGGTTGTAGTACCACAGCATGGGATGGAACTATGGCCTGGTTACAAAACAAGCATTCGACAACATGAATCCAGTATTTTATTATGTGTCGACGTAACTTGGAAAGTTATGAGGAATGATACAGTCTTAGACATGTTCAGGCTGTTGCACCAGAGGAATCCTCAAAATTTAAGGGTTTGTTTAATTTCATATAACATGATTGACGATAATAGTATGATGATCTTCTTTTTACAACTACCTATTACATTTACAGAATGCCTTAGAAAGAGAGGTTGTTGGCTGTGTTGTTTTGACCCAGTATAACAACAAGACGTACAGGGTAGATGACATAGACTGGGAGAAGAACCCAGCCTCCACGTTCAATTTCAAAGGCGAGCAGATCTCATATGCTGAATATATGAAGAGAAAATACGGTATTGAAATAAAGGATATGAGACAACCTCTCCTGATCTCTAGAGCCAGTGCCAGGGATAGGCGTGCTGGTGTGGATGAGATCATATGTTTGATCCCTGAAGTGTGCCATTGTACTGGGTTAACAGACGCAATGAGGTGTGCATACAGTCTTTTAAGTCTTTCCTTATTCTTTATTTCTTTCAACGAATAATAAAAGTGTCATTCATACTATTCCCTAGAGGAAACCATCGTCTAATGCAGGACTTGGCTGTCCACACCAGAGTGGATCCGGCTCAAAGGATCCAAGGGCTCATGGATTTCAATCGGAGGTTACTAACAAATCAACAGGTGATGAGTTAATGTCATTGTTTTTCCTTAATCTTATCTTCTTGCAGTCCATCTAATGTTCCACTTCACTTTTCTAGGCTGTGGCACAACTTGCAATGTTCGATATGAGTTTGGAAAAAGACTTAGTTACAGTAAATGGTCGAGTTGAGGTGGCTGAGCAAATAATGTTTGGAGGAAATGGAACAACTAAGAAAACCCATGATTGGACGAGAGATTTGAGGGGAAAACCTCTCCTCACACCCAAAATTTTAGATTATTGGGTGGTTTT